AGCGCATGTAATCTTACTACTAGCATTCCAAGGAGCGAGATTAAGGCAAGTAGCTCAGGAAATCTCTGTGTTGGTGGCAAGCAGTCGGAATCATCTACGCAAAATGATGGTGCTGACGTTGGGTCTGTGGTGGGAACACGGGGCTCATCGCTGGATGGTAATGAGGTGGATGATGACGACGAAGCAGGATTACCGACAGACGACGACATTACTGTAGCAAGTGTGTTCTCATTTGATGAGAAGACTATCTCAATGGAGAATAACAACTCGTCGAGTGGTGTGGGGCTTGAAGAAGACCCAGAGAGTACTGATGAACATCAAAGTGCGGTTGTGGACAATAATAACGCGCAGAAGATGGACGCTAGTGTTTGTCTTGATCCAGTTGTCATTCGAGAAACTGGAAAGCGTACCCACCGCGATGAAACTCAGTCGGAAGAGGCTCGTGTGGAACACGAGGCCGCAAAGCCAGATACCAAGAGAACTCGAACAGGACTTCGAGAGATACAAGAAAGACGTCAACCTCGACGCTTTGATGACTTTGTGATGAATGCAGCGACTTCACGGGTTCTGGATGAGCATGGCCGGCCTATTCGTGCTTGTGAGGTGAAGATTCCTCGTAACAGACGTGAGGCACTGCGATCCAGGTTTGCTAACTATTGGATGGAAGCAGAAATGGTAGAGATCGCTGCACTGAAGGCAAAGAAGGTCATCCAAGAAATACCGAATGAGGACATGCCCGAAGATGCGAAGCCTGTAAGTACAATGTGGGTCTATGCCTTGAAGTCGGATCATCAGGGTTACGTGATAAGATTCAAGGCTCGGATAGTGGCGTTGGGGAATCACCAGCGACCAGGCATTGACTTCAAGGAAACGTTTGCCCCTGTGGCAAGAATGGCTTCGTTTAGACTGTTGTTGGGACTGGCGGCATTACTGGGATTAGAGGTATACGGAGGAGACGTGAATACCGCTTACCTCAATGCATGGCTAGGCATACGACAATATCTACACTCCATCAACGGATATCCGTGCAGAGTGAGTGGCCATTCTTACGTGGTACTCAAGGCTTTGTATGGATTAAGACAATCGGGTCGAGAATGGAATTCAGAACTAAATGATTGGTTCATTCAGCGTGGATACCAAAGATCGTTGACGGAGCCGTGCCTGTACTACCTGTTTGATGGTGGCACGATGGTATACGTGCTAGTATACGTCGATGATATCTTGGTTGCAACAAACAGCAAGGAGTACAAAGATCAGTTGTTCATGGACTTGGACAACACGTACGGTCTCAAGGACCAAGGGCTGTTAACACAGTACTTAGGTGTGGAAGTGACTCACACGTCAGAGTACATTATGATCAGTCAAGGCAAGTACGCAAGAGAGATTCTTGGCAAGCTGGGATTTGAAAATGCACATGCAGTAGGAAATCCAATGGAAGTGAATTCACGGCTCACACCTCTTGGAGAGAAGGAGAGTGCAGACGGCAGCTTTCCGTACCGTGAAGCCATTGGTATGCTCATGTACCTGGCTACAAGTACCAGACCGGACTTGGCTTATTCATTAGGCCAACTGAGTCGCTTCGTAGCGAACCCATCGGCGAAGCATATTGGAACGGTAAAGAGAGTGCTGCGCTACTTGGCCGGGACCTTGGATTATGGAATTAAGTACGAGAAAAAGAAGAACAACTCGAAGGAGTTGGTGTTGCAGGTTTACTGTGACAGTGATTGGGCTAATGACCCAGATCAAAGGAAGAGCACTACTGGTTTCGTGTTTATGCTGGCAGGCGGAGCTGTAGCATGGATGTCACGAAGACAATCCGTCATCGCTTTGTCGACCGCGGAGGCGGAGTACATTGCAGCGTGTGAAGCCACAATGGAGGCAGTTGCTGGGAAAAATGTTTTGCAAGAGATGTTACCGCTGCACGATGTGAAATTGCGTGTAGGAATTGACAGTCAAGCTGCTCACGTGATGGCAACTAATCCTACCTACAGCAGACGTACGCGCCACATTGAATTACGGTGGCATTACGTACGAGAGCAAGTGCAAAAAGGCACTGTGGAGTTGCATAAGGTGAGGGGGGAAACAAACCCTGCCGACACGTTCACCAAGCCTCTGGACAAGAAGCGACTGAAAGGATTGTTGCTGATTGCAGGCATTGGAGCAGAAAAGTAGTCGAAGACCAGTATTCGACATCGAAGACCGATCTTCGAGAAGGGCGTGTTGGATTGTGCATCGAGGCCTGGCGCAGATTGAAGAAAGCTGGAACAGCAAAGAAACCAGATCGTTATATGAGAGAGGGCAAAGGCCCGTGAGTGTTGGTCAATGCTCAGGACTGACACAAAGTAATTCAGTCTTCATATTTTCCCTTTGCAAACAAGGAGTTTGTTTGTTACTTCGCGGGGCGTGTCTAAGAGCCACAACTCCCAACAGTCCGTGCTCGCTGTCGTGCTTGGTTGTCATGCTTGCGTTGACGGTGGCCAACGATCGCGTAACAAACGGCGGTATCCCCTCTAAATAGAGCTGCGCTACTTCTTCCTCGAGTTTTGTGATCGTCTCTGTGCTGTTTTTAGTATCAGCATGTGGATCAATAGTTTTCGTTGTGGTAGAAAACTCAGTCTCCTATTTATACGCAGGAGTCAGAAGCTCGTCAGCATGTCCAGTGCTGCTTGAAAAACATACCTGAGCGAATTCCTTTTTTCCTAGGATGTGACGTAGCGCTCCGTCAAGCTTTTGCTGATACGAGACAATCGACTTCAGCTTACGATTAATTTCCTCTGAGCGTTGTCGCTCTTGGTATTCGACCTTCACTGTCTTTCTCCACGCAGACTGAGTCGGATCATTTGCCAGAGGTCCGTACTCGTCTTCTGAGCTTACTCGCAGTCTTTTCAGCTGCGAAGTGTGCGTCTCGAGCTCCTTCACCTGACGACGTAAAGCCTCAATTTCCGCTTTCTTCCCTTGTTGTTTGCGTGCCGAGTATCCCGATGGATCGCCTCGCCCTTTCCTTTTGACGCCTTTAACAATTAAAGCCTGCCCGTCGCTGTCGCTGGACGCCGAAGGAGGATCGCTGTGGTGATGAATGCTACTGCTGGTGTCCCGCTGGAAAGTGTCCTGTTCTAGGCCGACGTTGAACGAATCGATGAACGCGATTGCCTCGGAGACCGTGTCAAAATCTTCGGTCGGGATTGCCACGAAGTTCATTGCTGGCGTTCTGCTGAGTAATTGCAGGAATATAATGGTAACAGCTCGCACTGTGATCGACACTCAGACAATGGAATACGAAAGGGTGGGGGTAGTCACGTGTAGTGGCTCCATACATTTCCGTAAACTTGTATCTTCATAATCTCCGTAATCAAACAATACTTATTGCCAGTTACGTGTGACAAGAGAGTCCTGCCTCTGGTGGGACAAATCATGCTGGTACGTGCTAAAAAAAAAAATTATCTACTGTACACGTGATCCTCTCTATATTGATATTCTAAAAGTAATTCCCTCCAAATATAGTGGTTGAGGGGGGTTTCCGATGACGTTAACAACTTACCATAAACTTACCTTTATCCTCTCATTAGTGAATAACTAGGGTGAGTGATAATTCAAAAACGGATATCGGTATTGTAACACAGAGGTCTCTAACTAAAGATTATGTCCGCTCTGACGAGGTCGAGTAAATAATGAGGATTGCACTGGTTCGGACAGATCTCATGACCCTCAAACTGAAGAGCTGCATTTCCCGGACAAGTGCTTGACCATAATTACACGCTCGGAAACAGATTCAGTACATACTTCGGTTGTTCGCATCTACGAGGAGGTGTACATGGATCCTCAAGAAGGATTCTCTGCACGATCGGAAGACGTCAGAGCATCGTACTGAAAACGCTCAGCTGGAAGCTCCAAGAGTTCTCGCGCCGACATCAAGACGTGCTGACGGACAAAGTTTCAACAGCTTGACTCATCTTGGATACCTGCGGCTTGAATTCCTTGATTTCTTTAAATAATTTATAAAGAAAACAAGTTGACAGCTGGTATTATATACCGGTATTAAAAACATCAAATCTATTTTAAGAAATCAATATGTTTAAAAAATGGGTATATTATTAAGATACCTTGTAATTTTAAACAGGAGTGCATGAATTCTTAAGATGCAGATATAACGGGGTAACAGTAATTAGAGGCACACGCTGCAGCCATTGACCTTCATAAACACCTGCCCCCATAATCATCAACCTCTCCATCTCACCCACCCGCACGTAAACGCCATGACTCCGTAGCCCCCTCTTCCATTCTACAATTTCCAGGGCCCAGTCAATCAACGAGCGACACATCATGAGTCTGTTCTATTCTCAGAACGACGATTTCGTGTCGGTAGAGGAAGCCATCGCCTTTATTGACTCGTTCGATCAACTCTTAGGCGGCAGCGACTGGGACAAGTCTAGTACTACAACAAACATCCCCGAAGCACGCAATACCAAGAATGCCCCAATGCGGAAACGAAAGGCCAACCCTCCTGGGTACACGACGCGATTACAGCAGCAGAAGAAGGCGGAACTTCGGGGACTCAGAGACCACGTTCGACAGCTTGAGGAACCGGTCGAGCAACTCAAGAGATTGCGACCCTACAAACCCGCCCGTGGAGTTCTAGATCCTCAGATCGCAGCCCAACAGGTCAAGTGGGAGCAGCTCGTCGCAACAGAGCACGAAGCTCGACGACAGTCCGAAGAGACCAATCGGAAACTTAAAGAGATCCTGGCACACCAAGTCGAATTGGACAAGAATCTGCGTCGGATTCTGGACAAACGTTCCCTGTTACAGGAATCAATTTTGTATTCGGGAACGAACCCACATCTAGATACTCGTTCGCTGCCTTTGAGAACAGCAAGTCGATCGTGGATCACTTGGAACAGAGAGTGGGACAGCTTTACTTAGACTCAGGAACAGTCTTTCAGAGCGGACCACCCCCCTCTGTTAGCTGCAGTATGCAGATGAAATACATCAAAGACTTCGGGATGACAGCGGAAGCTCTTTCAACGACACCCGTGCCGTGCCCTATGCTGATATTTGCTGGAAGGACTTGAGTATCCCTCGTTCATGTCCGGAGAAATGGGTGCGTGGGATGAAAGGTAGCCAACCACACTCACACGAGAAGAACTGGATCCTGACGTTGCAGTGTCAGTCGTACGTAAAGCAGGTCAAGGGCGTTCAATTTCTGCGGAAATACATTGAACCGAATCGCATCGTAATCATCAAGGCCGACATGATGATGCTGAACAACGAAGGACTACACTTCCGTGACCAGAAGTGGACGATCATCTCGCGCGCCCAGACAAATCCAAAGGCTTGCGTGGTGCGTGTGTGCGAGCAAATGTACTTGGACTGAGAGACCAGTGAGATAGCAACCGCACGGCCAGAAGATGTCGACTATGCGCAGAACGTGGTACTCAAGAATCTGAACTGGAAGTTAAGGGAACACACAACACACTTGCAGGATCAGCTGATCGAGGAAACACAGAAAAATGGAATGATGTTGTTGATGACTGCGCAGTAAAATTCACACAGAGGGCAATGCTATGCATTGACTGACCCTTGGAAGCAGGAAGGTCCACGATCAAAATGCGTCACCTGAAGTGCTCAAGCTGGTCACTAAATATGCAAGAACGAAAACATGTCGCCGAAGGCGACGGCGCGGGGACTTGCCGTGGGTGCCGCTTGGGGAAGGTACTATTATTTCCTATTGCTATCAAATTTGCAAGGGTTTGATCGACAAAAAATGAATTTTAAAAATAGAGTTTTTTATGCTAATTACTGGACTTGGAAATGCTCGCCTGATAACGTTTTCGAAAACTGCTACATGAACACTGACAGAAACGCTCCCGCAGTGTTGTGTAGGCTTGGTATTGTGAATTCCCTGCAAGAGATAGTTACGGCAACAAGACTCTTCTGATAAGGAAAATGGTAAAAAGATAAATGGTTTAAAGATACCTGCTAAATAATTATGCTTAGAAATATCACGACGATTCTGCTATAAGGCAATTAAACTCACCTTGTTGATTGACTAATAATGTATTTCTTTTTGATTCGAGAAAAGAAAGGAAAATGCTGTACTTAAGTAGCACGCAATCCTAACACAGTACTACACTGTCTCTACGGGTACTGTAATCCTGGATATTCTCGAAAAGAGCTTGCCCGTGTGTATAACAAGTCAGATACCACGCTTGTCAACTGGATTCGTGTCTATGAGAGTACATGAACATTTAAGAGAGCTAAAACAGTGGGCGCCTGCCAATTATCACTTAAACGACCGACTTATCTGCAAGAGATAAGTCAGAGTTTAAAAAGATATATGACGGCTTACTTCTCGAAACCTCTACCACAAATGTATTTTGACTGCTTGTTTTGTCCGGTTCTTACTGTCCTACATCAAAAGCTACAATAAAAATAACACTTTGTAAAACTGTACCCGACACTTTGTGCCGGACACTACGCGAAGTTGCACCCTTCGAATTTTGCTCACTTTCAAATTGGCCCGTGTCGAGCGCAAGTGAACACCACGATGGCGAGCGAGGCCACAGACGACGTAGACCTGACGCTGGCTCTCTGTGCAGAGGTTCTGAAGCAAGAAGAGGAGTTGAACGACGTGCGACGTGTAGTATTTGACGTGCTGATGGCGGATGCGCGGAGAATCGCCATGAGGAGCCGGCACTACCTCACGACAAAGTGCCTTGACTCGCCGAGCGAATCGGCTTGGATGATCCTGTACAAGTATGGCAACAACGTGAACTTCCTCAATGCTACCAGTTTAACCAGGTGAGACCCTATCTAGTGTTGTTAAAACTGCACACGTTAACTAATCGCTACATGTCTGTAGACCTGCGTTCAGCCAGCTCCTGCGGAGGTTCAGCAGATTTTACTTCATTCCACGCCACACTACACGTGGCCGCCCACCCAAGCTACGACACCATCACCAAGTGCTGGGTCTTTTACTTTCCTTCTACGTGGGTTCTATGGAGCAGACAACGCTGTGCTTGGTATTTGGTGTCCCCCCAAGCACACTGTCACGGACACTACGTCGCGCAGAGGAATCATTGGCTTCTGCACTTAAAGGATATGCACCAGCAAGGATCTCTTGGCCTTCTCCATCTAGTCAAGCCGAAATGGCTAAGCTGGTTGAAGCTCGGGAGCCCCTCCTGCAGCACACCTTCGGATTTATCGACGGAAAGAACCTGAGAGTACGTGTATGGAATTTCAAACGATTTTTATTTTACTTAACGTTTTCTGCTGTGTTGCAGGTCCAGCAGCCGTCCAACAGTAACCTGCAGAACGCCATGTACAATGGCTGGCTCCACACCGTGTTCATCACCGGGACAATTTGCTTCGCAGCAGACGGCTGTATTATCTGGGCGAAGCACAATTGTCCCGGATCTTGGAACGACTCGGATACGTCGCTCGGCTTTCGAACCAAGCTCCTTGACCCGGTGTGCTGCCCCGACCAACGCATGAACGTGGTGTCGGACTCAGCGTTTCCCTGCTCAACCTCAATGGCTGGCCGCATCTTGACCCCGCTGAAGGACGGCGACCTGGACCGGATCTTGCCGTCACTTCGAAGTTCCGCCCGGACGCTCCACAATGCCATCACGTCGGTGCGCCAGGCCGCCGAGTGGGGCATGGGGAGTATACAAAAGGTGTACCACCGATTGAATCTCCCCTTGCCGTACGACCCGGATCTTCGCGGGCTCCGAATTGGCAGCTTGTTCCGCATGGTCAACTACAGAGTTCGCACCGTGGGAATCTCACAGATCCGCACCACTTTTCTAGGAGAAACGGAAGCTTACGATCTCTAACACGTTAGCTATGAACGTTTGTGCATTTCAAGGCTTAAGAGAGAAAATACAAAAATACACTACTGAAATCGGAAAGCTGAGCCTCGTACTGATGTGCATACCAGAAGTGTCTTCGCTGACGTCCTAGGGCTTCTTCGTCAGGGCTCCGATCAGCATCACCAGCTCTTGGGTGCGAGCACGCGCCTCCTCTCGGTCACGGCGTGCGCGCTCTTCCTATTCCTGCCTGTCGATGCGGCGGCGCTCCTCGGCCTGGGCTCTTTCAGCGAGGCGACGTGCTTCCATCACCGCCATATCATCTCGGCGACGCTGCTCCTCCTCTTCGCGGCGAGCTTCAGCTTTGCGCTCGTTTTCCTCGCGTAGTAAAAGTAAAGTCTCCATGATATTGCCGCGAGTATTGTTCGCCGAGTTTTCAAGTCCCTCGAGCCTCGATTTAAGCGCCGTCGTCGCCTTCATTGCACGAATTCTTTTTGCCTTCGCGAAGCTGGCCTTTTGCGTTTCCTTATCGTCTTCATGGGCACGCTTGGCGCCTGCTGTGTCTTGAAACTCGGTCAAGTCCACCCTTCCTAGGCGGTTAGAGCGACTACTAAGCTCCGGATACTTGGCAGCTTCAACTTCGTCCCTGCTTCTGGCGTCGGGACCGTGGTCCCCGTGTCGGTGCGTTCTCGCCGAAGTGTCTTGTCTCGTAGCCGATGATGCACGTGGTGGTGCAGGGCGAGGGGTTGTACCGCCGACTTCAAGTCCTTGTGGAGAAAGTGGTGACGATAACAAGTCCTGGAACTCACCGCGGGTTGGGTCTGTAAGCCCTTTAATGACCGAATCGTCCGTACCGGTCGACTCGCTACGGACAGACCCAGCGCCGTTTCTTCCGGTGGCAGCACGAAGGATCTCAGGGACGTCCGGCTCGTAGAAGGTCTGGTCAGGCTCCGCATCGAAGCTGAAGTCCGGTTCCGTGTAGCGCTCGTCCTCTCCCGCCTCATCGTCTAGCTCCACGACGTTAGCCTTGTCGTCAATAGCCTGTTTAGCCTCCTTGGCCTTCTGGATGTGGGGAGGCATACTGGCCACCCCCGTTGGCTTGCGGGTGCTGTAAAGCTGCTTGAACTTGCGGCGTAAGCTCTCAAAGTCACGTTCGGGTGCTCCACGGGGCTTGCTAGTGTTAAACGAGGTAGCGAGGCGCTCCCACTAGTCCTTGCCCAACGGAAGTACCTTCTCGACGAGTCTCAACATGCGCTCGATGTCGGCCATTGAGTAGTTAGACGTTCCTGCGTTTCGGACCATTTCTATCATACACAAGAACAGCGGGTCAGTCAAGGTGCGGTTTCATGGGCGCGAGGTCGAGTAGCAGCGTACCGATCGAAGTAGAGGGGGGCAGAGGTCTTGTTTGAAGTGAGGGTTGCTTGCCGCGAGGCGAAATGGAAAGTGAGAGACGCCAGCCCCGGGCCCGCAGTTCGCACCTACAAGAGAAGCCTCTCGATCCACCAGTAGTCTATCTTGGATCTTCAAAAGGCTCTGCAGCTACTTCAACGTGGTTCGCGCTCGAATTTGCGCGCCAAACCAGCAGCTTTAACGTGGTTTGCGCTCGAGTTTGCGCGCGAAACCAGCCGTTTGGTTCTTGAACACTGCAATGGAAGCCAAAGATGGCGCAAACATTCACGTCAAGGCGCGGGCGTCACAGACACTTACACGTCAGCTATCTAGGCTCACATCGGAACCTCTGGGTACAACTATACCAAAAAGGCGCAAAGTTAGCACCCAAAGATATTCATATTAAGCACCAATATGCCTGTGCACACGATGGCTGCCCTCTTTTCACGGATCGTCCTGATCCTGGATGTCCTGGTGGCGGCAACCGTGCCATCCACACTAACAGACAAACCATAGATCGTCCCCATAGTCGACGGTCACCTCTTGGCCGCGGCGCACGGCATGCGTTGTAGCGACGACCACGGTGGTGCGTCGCCCATTAGAAACCTCCACGAACTTGGCAACCGGACGGCATGAGTGGTTTACAAACCTCATTAAGCTGCCCATCTTCTCTGCGTTGATTGCCACACGCACAGGGTAACTCGGGCGTTCTGGGCGTAGTTTCATCACAAGACGGTATCCTTGGTTGCGTGGGCGCTGTGAGCGCGAGACGCTCAGGTGCTCGATCTCGCCCATGTATTTTGAAAAAATATACAGCAGGAGTTAAGTGCGCTGCAACGGGAAGTGAATGAGAAAATGACTGTTGCGGATGTGCAAGAACTGCTGGACGCCCAGTCGACGATGAACGGACTGCAAGAGGCAAGGAAGCAAGTGAAAAAGGCTGCAGTGGATAAGTTTGCGACTAAAAATCAACGCATACAGATCTCGCAGCCTCGTACGTCCTCGCCAGTCTACGGATTCGCACATAAGGTCAAACTAACTTTTGCTGCGTCAGGCGCAAGTACTGCAGTACGTACCAGGCTTGGCCGCGTCCTGCGCGCGACTCATGGGTCTTCAGTTGCGTCAGCGTCGGGTGTGGAGCTCGTGTTCCTGGCGCAGCCGCGCGTTCTTCTCGCTCCCGCGCAATTTCTGAAATGGGAGGCTCAGAATGATCGTATTTAAAACGAATCGAACTTAAAAGAACAGATACGTACCTAAGACGGAAGCGTTTTTTTTGGATTTTAGTTTCGCAGGTAATTGCCCCAACACTTCTCCTGGCTCGATGTTTTCAGCCGCCACCACGCCC